TTTTGTTGAACTTTGAATTCTGCCCAATGAGGCCCTTTCACTTCAAGGCATTAGGAGAAAAGATAGCGGTGCGAGTGCTACCTTGTTTAACTTGGTAGCGGAGCTGAGATCCGGATTGGCTTCGGCCTCTCCGGGGAGCTCCAGGGGCGAGAAACCATTGAGCCCAATTGCGGACAGGACCCAATCCGCTCTAGATCCGCGTAGCCCGAAGCCATCGTTAAGCGCCCGCGCCTTTGTTGAATTGTTGTGGAGTCCAATCTTTCTTTTGCTGTTTTGCAGTGATTTTTGCAATGGCTGACGAGAGAGGTTCTCAGGATTTTCCAGAACTTGAGTTCACTGGTGCACCGGGAGCTGAAGGATCGGATGGAACAGGCATTCAGGCAGGCCAAGTGTTTGCAATGTTTCAGCGTCTTACTGAAAATTCTCAAAGCGCAACCAATGCAGCAGTACATGCAGTCCAACAAATGCAAGCATTTAAATTTGTTGCTTCGTCTACAGCTGGAACGTCTGCGTCGAGGCCTGAGGACGTTACCAAGGTTTTGAAGCAGCCAGCTGTTTTTGACCACGAGAAACGTGACGACCAGACTCGACATTGGCCGGAATGGGCATTTCAGATGAGGCTTTGGCTTGGGTATTTGGACACCGGATACATGTCAGATCTTTCAATGGTAGAAGACAATCCAGATCGTGTTCCAGGTCTTAGTGGAATGAGTGATGCCATGAGCACAAGGTCAATGAAGTTGTATGCAATCCTAGCTACGTACATTAGAGGTCCAACTCTGAAAATCATTCGTGCAGTTGAGCTTCACAACGGCTACGCTGGTTGGGGTGCTTTAGTGACACACCTAAAACCACGGAGCAGACAGAGAGCGCTAGCGTTGTTGGATGGTTTGACTTCTTTTCAGTTTGGCAAACGTACAATCACAGAAGGCATTTCCGAGTTTGAAAGGCTTGTGCATGAATATGAGCTAGCAGCTGGTGGTGGTACAAAGTTCAGTGAGGAGTTGAAGATAGCAACATTGCTACGTAATGCCCCAGCTTCCATCAAACCTCAGCTGCAGTTGGCCTTGAGCTCTGCCACAACATACACTGGACTTCGCCACACGTTGATGGCGTATGACCGGGCTTCAGTCAACTGGAATGCAAGCAGCGTGGTTGGTGGCACTCTGGGTTCAGAACCATTCAAGCCTTCAGGAGACACTGGAGGCCCTATGGACGTGGATCGGGTCGAAAAGGGAAAAGGAAAAGGTAAAGGAAAGCGCAAAGGAGACGCCAAAGGAAAAGGAAAGGGCAAAGTGAAAGGCCCCCCACTTCCTTACAAAGGAAAGGGAGGAAAAGGGAATGACAGAGACTCTGGAAAGAAGGGTTTTGAGAAAGGTGGCAACAAAACAGATTCTGTTTGCTGGAATTGCGGTAAAGCTGGACATCTTTCAAAAGATTGTTGGAGCAAGAGGCAGTGCGGCAAGTTGAGCAACAGCCACCTGTTGAGCCCAGTCCAGGTCAAAACAATCCGAGCATTGCTACAACAACCACCTCTCAACCAGGTGGTGCAACAATTCGACGGGTAGCTTTGGTAGACTTCACTCACATGTCGTCGAGCAGTGATGGGGTGGTTCGAATGGTTCAATGTGGTCCATGTTCCGTGCCTTGCTTTGACATGGCCCATCGTGATGATGAAGAGGACTGGACTTTCTTTGATGCTTCTTTGACCCCTGTTCATGATTTGAGAGACTGTGAATGTGATGCTGCCATTGCCCACGTGCGTCCTGTCAGTGTATGGGACAACGCCGAAGAGGAGTCAGAAAGCCGTGACATGGTGGAAGTGATCCTTGATTCGGGCGCTGACCTTTCCTTAGCTCCATTTGAGTATGCTTCATATGGAACACCATGCATGCAGTCAAAGCAGAATGTCCGTGATGCCAAATCTCTGTGTCAGGTGAAGTTGTTTTGACCTTAGATCTCCTTGGTCCCTCCGGTGACGTGGTGGAGGTACGTGAGAAGTTTCTTTTAGGACCTGTGCAGCAGCCAATTCTTTGTTTGGGCAAGTTCTTCCAGAACGGCTGGAGCTTGAATCAGACTGCAACCTCCCAATTGGCTTTGTCGAAAGAGGATATTGCAATTGATGCGCACTACAAACAAAACTCTCTGCAGGCATGTGCTTTTGTCCGGGCTCTGACCAGTGATGACATTCCTGTGACTCTTTTGAGTGAATTTTCTGGAGTGCAACGTCGTGAAGGCTGGCATTGTTTCGAGAGCGAAGAGTTTTGGTTTCCAGTGCATTTTAGCAAGAACAGTGTCAGATTCAAGTCCGGCCTGCCTGCATACATCCCAGACGCATGGCACACTTTGTTGTACATTGAAGGCAAATGGTTGATCGTGGAAGGCAACCAGTTGTATGTTGAGGAGGTCATGCCATATGGCAGACATGGTAGGACTGGATGTCCCATGATCACCATTTTGCATCAAGGTGCGTTGCCGTGGCATTTGTTTTTCAGGTCTCCTTCCGAGTGTCCTGAGAGGTTTCGATTTCTCCGCCCTCGAGTTCAGCAGACCAAGTCCCAAGCTGAGTCCATGCAAGTTGACCAAACAGGCAATGAAGATCAGAGTTCATCTCCAGACAACGTGAGAGAAGAGCCGCGCCTAGAACACAAGGAGACCCGAGAGTGTGAAATCCAAGCAAGTCCAAACATTGAAGCTGTGCCGCGTGACCCTGTGGTAGAGTATGCGCCTCCGAGCAAGATCAAGGTTGGTGGAGTGGAACTTACAGAAGAGGGCACCTTGAAGGTGATGAGAGAAGCGTGTGAATTTCTTCAAATTGGTAAGACTGGTTCAAAAGCAAAATGCTGGAAGAGGCTCACTACTCATTTGCACGAGTTTGAAAGCAAGATGGCTGCAGATGTGATTGGACCGCCGTGTGCCTTCAGCAGTGACTCTGGCCAGTCGACCGAGTGAAGAGTTGGTAGTTTCACATGAGCTCACGCACGTTCCCACAGAGCCTTGGTGTGAAACTTGCATGGCAACAAAGGCAAAGGAGGACAGAGCATTTTCACTGCCACGCCTTGGTGAAGAGATGCGCAGTGTACCTACCTTCAATTTTGACTATGCAATCACAAAGTGCACAGATGTCTCTAGTGAAGAGATTCCTGTTTTGGAGGCTCCTGTTGTGACAACCTTTGTTGGTGTGGATAACTGGACTCGATCATGCCTTGCAGTTCCAATTGCTGAAAAGGGTACTCGTTCTTTGAAGCAACTCACGCAAGCAGTTTGCAGATTTTTGAGTAGATTGGGATACGATGAGGTGTGCCTTAAATCTGACAATGAACCAAGCTGCAAACATGTTAGTTTGTTTCAGTTCACTGATGTACTTGTACAAGAGATGTGAAGTGTAGTATCTGTTCTTATCTTACTTCGCCGCGAAGCGTGTGGGTCCAAAACAGGGCGCTGCCAAACATGGTAGCGGAGCTCTGAAGATCCCGGGCAAAGCCCCGGGGGAGGAGCGCTAGGCTATCGGTGACGCTTAGCGGAGGTGCGCTGTAGCCCGGGGCGGATGGAGTTGGCCCTGCTATGCCTCATGGAGGCGTGCCTAGTCGCGCATTTTCTGATGACGGTTGAATTTGAATGTTGGGTTGAGTGGATGCATTTTACATTGGTTGATTGGACATTGTGCATTGCAATTCAGAGCATTGGTGCAGCGTTGTATTTAGTTGAGCGGTGTCGATCAGCATTGCTTGGACCTCAGTGGAAATCTTTGCTTGAAGTTGTTTTGACATGGTCGCAACAGAAGCATTGGTTAGCTTTGGCATTCACTGTTGTGTTCCTTTTAGCTGTGGGTTGGATGAGCTGCAGAAACTATACACGCTTGGGCCCTAGCTGCAAGAGACGAGAGAAGATTCAGAGAAAGAAAAGATGGGGAGAGATCAAACGGTGCAAGAAATGTTTGAGGAAGTCCTGCACAAAGGGTTTGAGTTTTCTCTTGCTGTTGACAAGTGGCTACGGAGTTGAATCCATGGATGCACAACAATTTCAACTGTTCATGCAAGGTTTTGGAAGTTTGGTGCAGCGTCAGGATGCAATTCTCAGGGGTGTGACTGAAACCCTTGGATCTGCAGGTAGCAGTGCATCAGCTTCGGTGGCGAGAAGCTTAGAATCAGCGGCCCGCATTTTGAAGACTCCTGATGTCTTCGAAGCAAGCGACAGTATGTCCTGGGTGACATGGCGGCATTCGTTCTTGAACTGGCTTTCGTATGCCGACAGCAGGTTCTTGGATTCGATTCGGGACATCGAGAAACTGTCGCCGGCCGAGTCGATTGAAACTGGTGATTGGACTTCAGCTGAATGGGATCTAGGTAGAAAACTCTACGCTATCCTCACCTCATACCTCAAAGGAGCTGCGTTACAGCTGAGTCGATCTGGGTCAGACGAACGCAATGGGTTTGCATTGTGGAAAACCCTCATTGACCATTTTGCACCGCAGACGGGACAAAGAGCTCTTGCATTGAGTCAGGCGATTTCATCATACCCAGCATACAAAGCAACAGGTGGCAAGACATTGCAGGAACACATCATGGGTATGGAGACTCTGGTGCAACAATACGATTCTCTCAATTCAAAGCAGTTCGATCGAGATGTGCTTCTTGGTGTGTTGATGAGGTTGTGCCCTGAAGGTATCCGACAACATCTTACATTGAGCATTGGTGACACAACATCCTATCAAGAGGTGAGAGAACGCATCCTTTCATACGAGCGGAGTTCAAGGTTGTGGAGCGTTGATGAGATGTTGAAGCCTTTGGGAAAGTCATCAACAGACCCTTCAGGTGTGGCACCAATGGAGGTGGACGCTGTGTTCAAGGGCAAAGGAAACAAGGGCTATGAGAAAGGAAAGGGCAAGAAAGGCAAGGAAAGGGTTCCGGCTGGTCAGATGGTTGGACTTGGTACAATTCGTGGTCCAAAGGTTTTGGAAAGTCAAAAGGAAAGTCGAAAGGCAAAGGAAAGTCGAAAGGAAAAGGGAAAAGCAAAGGGAAGCAGTTCAAGGGAAAAGGAAGAGGAAAAGGGAAACTCAATCCGGATCGGTGCCGGGTATGCAATGGCTACGGCCACTGGGGCAATGAATGTCCCAATCGACAGGACAATGTTCGTGAAGTGAGAGTTGAAGGAGGCAATACCCAGTCAGAGACAAGGTTGCCTTCGTCGAATGCTTCCACAGCTTTTTCCTCAGTTGGTAGTACAACTGCCTCGACAATTGGCCAGCAACAGAGATCAGTGAGAAGAGTTCACATGTACCACGTTGGAACTCCCCCTATTCAGGTCCCAGAACGATATGCCTTGTCAGAGGTGTCATCGGAGGAGGATTGGTCGACTCTTGGAGGCCAGGTTCGAACAGTGACATGCAAGGCGGGACAAACAAGACCTGAAAGTTACAGCATGTTTGATTGTGATGATGTTTCAGTGGATGCAATGTCACTAGCAGACGACTCGTTCTACATGTGGCTGTGCTCGGAGGAGGAAACATATTCATGGTCAGGTGATCAGATGAGTGGTGAGATTTTGCCCAAAGCCCAGTCGGATCAAGGACCACTTCGTGTTTGCATGGTTGAGCAGTTGAACGATGAATGCGAGTGGATTGTGCTTGATTCAGGTGCAGATGTGAGTCTTTTGCCCCACAACTGTCTATATCTGGTCAGGACGTGCCAACACCTAGCCTTCAACTGGAAGATGCACAAGGCAATCCTTTGAGAGTTGGAGGCATGAGAAAAGCACAGGTTGAATTTAGCCATACATTGACAGAAGAGAAGGGCTGTTGCGTGAGCGAGTCTTTCATTGTGTCAGATGTCACGAATATCCTTTTGAGCTTTGGTCGTATGTTGAAGACAGGTTGGACATTCGCAGGACCTCAACCGGAAGACGACATGTTGAGGACACTAGGACAGGGAGAATGTGCAGGTGTCCTCACTTCACCAGACCTTTTGTGTCGTGCGCCTGTTTACTACAGAAAGAACAGCTTGAGCATCCTAGCGCACGTGAGAAGGGTGAATGTTGATCAGCAGGATGCACAGGACGTTTCAATGACCGAAACAGGACACGTCAGAGGAGCTTATGTGAAGTTGACATTTGACATCAATGCATTGAAGGACGGATGGCAATTTCTTTCAAACGGCAATCCAGTGCACAAACAACACGGGAAGACTTTTGTTGACCCAGGGGCTGCACTATCAAGAGCTGTTTGGAAGTTTCGAACAACAGTGGTTTTGGTTGGGAATATCTGGGAGGTGGTTGAGCATTCAAAAGAACTGGCACTCCTGGACGGCTTTGAAGAAGACATTCCCGGAATTCTCATTCTTACGACAGTTTTGACATTTCCACAAAGGCACATTGCACCTCTCAGTGATTGCTTGTGTGAACAGGTGTTGGATGAACAGTTGCCAGCAATGTTTGATGAGTTTGAACGCAAGGAAGGTAAAGGAGTTGAGTTGTTTGCAGATGAACCTCGTATCCCAGCTGAACTGCGAGATGTTCCCATGATTGAGGCAAAAGGTTTCGCAGGAGGCCATGAAGAACAGCCCGAATCAGTTTGGGTGAATGGTCGAGAGCTGAGTAAGGCTAGCAAGGTGAAAGATCTACAGGAGGCTTGCAACTACCTTGGAATCAACGCCAGTGGAGCAAAGTCCAAGTTGTATGACAGATTGTGTTCTTATTTGAGCAAACAATTTCAGAAGGATGTGGACAGGTCGAAAAACAATCTACAAAAGTTGGAGCGCGGTCCACAACCGTTGTTGCAAGCAAAGGGAGCAGACAAACCAACAGATCCAAAGTTGATCGAACAACATGAGGCTACACACCTGCTTTTTGCTGCCTGGTGTGACATTTGCGCGAAAACGAAGTCGAAGGAGGACAAGACCATGCAGAACAGTGATGAGTCTGTGGAGAGTTCCGGAGTTCCACATATCCAGATGGATTGGATGTACCTTGGTCGAAGCTGCCCAGCATTGATCATGATTGACACGATGACAAGGTACGGTGCTATCTTTCCGGCTCGATCCAACGGAGCATGGAAAGCTCTCGCTGAATTTGTGTGAAGTTCTCGCTTGGGTTGAGCCATGTGAGTGAGGTTGTGTATGTGATGGATTCAGAACCAGCAACCCTTGGACTACTGGACATGGTGGTCATGATTCGGCAGGAGATGGGATATCCAACTTCAAAGAAGATCGGTAAACCATACCACAAAGGCCGGACTGCTAGGGTTGAGAGATACATACAAACAGTACGACGACAAGCCAGTGCATTGATGGCTAGTGTTGAAGGGAACATCCATGAGTTGCTTGACGATTTGCATTGTCTCAGAGCATGGTCGTTGGTACATGCAGTATTCCTGTTGAACAGATATCATGAGCACTCCGCAATCCGAGCAACCTCCTATGAGACAGTGTTTGGACGCAAGTACAATGGGAAGATTTTGCCTTTTGGAGAATTTGTTTTTGGATTGCGCCAACCCGTGAAGAAGGAAGGCACTAGTGTTTGGCAAGGAGGTATCTGGGTTGGAAAGGACGAAGCTGACACGCATGTGTTGTTGACACCTGGTGGACAAATTCACACGAGGTCGGTGAGGCGGTGTTCACATGCATGGCGTCCAGATGTGGTGTTAGCATTGACGTCTTCTCCATGGACAAAGGAGAAAGGTTCTGGCCCCGTGGGGATCCTGGAAGCCCCATTGCCCACGATCGAAGAGAAGCATGAAGGTCCAGAGCCTAGGCAGCCAATTTTGTTGCAAAGTGGTGAAGTTGATGAAGATGCAGAAGAAGTGTTTGGATTGGGTTCCTATGAGCCAACAGAACCTGGCAGCCTACATTCTGGAGAAGGTCAAACGGCGATGGAGGCGGAACCGTTGGAGCGGCTAACGGACATGCAGAGGAGAAGCTTGCTTGGGATACCAACCATCCCGACAACTCCTACTAGGC